ATCTCTATACCGTCATAAACCGCTGTCATATCTGGAGAACAGTTCGTGGTCTTCGCTCCTCTCCACAACAACGGCACCCTTTTAAAGCTTTGGCACTCCATCATGGAAAAACAGAACTCGAGGTGGCTGAAGAATTTTGCACGAGAGTTGCCGGGAATATTATGAACGAGAGAATCGACGCCATGATCGTTCCTGAGACGCGATTACCAGAAATGGACATTCCGTTCACCATGGAAGAACTGGAAGGTGCGTTAGTCGCTTCTAAGCGCATGTCATCGCCAGGTCCTGATGGTATTACTTATAGTGCGTTGGGACACCTTGGACAAAAAGCCAGAAAATAACTTTTAACATGCTTCAACAACCCCTGGCTCAGCGGCAGTGTTCCCCGAGAACGGAAAATAAGTCGATTAATACCACTTTTGAAATCGGGAAAATCACCATTGGACTTGACAGCGTATCGCCCTATTGCCCTCGCAAGCTGCCTCGGAAAAGTGATGGAAAGAATGGTTCTATTTCGTCTCGAGTGGTACTTGGAACGATACACCAAATACCCTTCTTGCATGGCAGGCTTTCGTCGGGGCCGCTCCTCCATTGACTGTGTCCTTGACTTATCGACATTTGTTCAACAAGAAAAAAGTCGCAAGCGCATATCAGTGGCACTCTTTCTTGACGTGAAGGGTGCATATGATAATGTAGCTCACGATGCCACCCTCACTTCTCTCGCAGCAATGGGCATTGGTGGACGAATGTTTCAATGGATAAAAGATTATATAACTGGCAGGGGTTTCTTTGTACAAACATATGAGGGTACAACTGCTTAACATTACACCTACTGCGGAGTACCTCAGGGAGGTGTTTTAAGCCCCACATTGTTCAATGTGGCCCTCATTGGTCTGGTGAAGGTTCTGCCAAAGTCGGTGTGCCTATCCATATACGCCGATGATATTTGCCTCTGGAGTGCTGCAGTTACTCGCCCTCAGGTGCGTGCACGAATACAGCGGGCAGCAACCCTCACAACAGCCTACCTTCAGAAACAATGCCTAAATATATCAATTGTGAAGTGCGCATTAATGGCGTTTACACGCAAACCAATGACGCCATACCCTGTTTACATCAATGGGCAGAGTGTCAAATATGCACGGACGCATCGTTTCCTGGGCATAATAATCGACAGAAGTCTTTCGTGGAGCCCACATTGTGCGTACTTGAAGAAGAGACTGCTATCTATTGTGCATATCATGAAATTCTTGTGCGGTAAAGCATGGGGAACTTCTGTGGCCTCCATGCTACAGCTGTACAGGGCCCTATTTCTGAGTCTATTGCGCTACAGCTTGCCGGTACTGACTAACACTTGCAAATCGAATACTCATTCATTGGAGAGTTTGCAGAGTCAGGCACTGCGTATCTGCCTAGGACTGCCCCGATGCGCTTCTACTCATGCCACAATCATGCTTGCCAAAGACCATCCGGTCAGGACATATAAATGTTGTGGATTGCCTCAGAGCGCACATTCGACATGCTAGCCCTGTTCCCGACCACCACTTGGCCCTTCTACCTTCCGGAAGGCCACGTGCTACGTTTTCAGACGTCATAGCCAAGCACCTAAACAGCATTCCATCAGGATATACGCCAGCTGCAAGAACGGCATGTCCTTTGTGGTGCCTCGACCAGCCGCAAGTACGTCTAGAAATTCCGGGAATCAAAAAGAAAAGCAGTCACTCCAGAGTAGCACTGAAGCAGGCAACACTGCTATTATTACATGAGTTGTACTTAGACCGAACGCAGATATACACTGATGTGTCCGTCTCATCCAGCAGCTCATCAGGTGCCGCTGTAATTCCGGCTGCAGAAATGACAATCAAGTTTAAGTTGTCGCATATGACTACATCTACGGCATCAGAGCTTGCTGCTATAAGGGCTGCTTTACAATATCTCGTTCAAGAACGTCCAGGAAAATGGGTCATATTCTGTGATTTGAAGGCAGCGCTTCAGAGTTTGCAGTCTGCCATGCGTTGGAGGAGTCATGACCAACTGGTACAAGAAACAAGACATTGCCATCATGAAGCTGTAGCACGAGGGCATGATATTATATATCAATGGCTGCCTGGACTTATCGGTATTACCGGAAATCAATTAGCCGATGATGCAGCCCGCTCAGCCCATGAAGAAACCCGTGTAGTCCCGATTCCTCTATCAAGGAATGATGCGGCAAGACCACTTTACATTCTGGCTCGAGATCTCACACGCACGTTCTGGTCGTCTACTACCAGCTTGCAAATGTGTCAATTTTATGAACTGAATCCTTCGCTCAAGCTAAAGCTACCATCACAACTTTCCCGCTCCGATGCGACACTGTTATGCCGCCTTTGGTTGGGTGTTGCATTTACTAAGGTGTACTCCTTTCGCACTGGTATGGCAGACACTCCTACATGCGACTACTGCGGAGCTGAAGAGACCATCGAACACGTCCTGTGCAGCTGCGCTTGCTACGACACACAGCGATGCCAGCTCCGGATGGTTTTGAATCGACTTGACCCCGGACCATTTTGTGTGCAGAAGATACTAGGACCTTGGGCATCTGCCTCAATTGCGCAGAAAGCAACTAAAGCACTGCTACTTTACCTTAAGTCAACAAACCTAAGCGACCGCCTCTAGACTGTGTGTGCTCCCCGAGTGTGCTCGTGATTGTGTGTACCTTCTCATCTTTCTGCAACCTCTTTTCTCCCCTTTATCCCTTCCCCAGTGCAGGGTAGCAAACCGGATGTGCGTCTGGTTAACCTCCATGCCTTTCCTTGCATCTTTATCTCTCTCTCTCTCTCTCTCTCTCTCTCTCTCTCTCTCTCACTGTCTGACCATCTGTAGCAGTGTTGCGGAATCAGCAGCTTCATTCCAATCCAATACGTGGCGATGGATTTGATTGATATGTGGGGGTTTAGGGTCCCAAAACCACCATATGATTATGAGAGACGCCATAGTGGAGGGCTTCGGAAATTTCGACCACATGGATCTTTTTTTAGCGTCAACCCAGATCTGAGCACACGGGCCGGCAACATTTCCGCCTCCATCGGAAATGCTGCAGCCGCCGTAGGTGGGATTCTATCCCGCGACTTGCGGGTCAGCAGCCGAGTACCTTAGCCACTATACCACCGCGGCGGGGCATACGTGGCGAGACTATGCACAAGCTGGCATACAAAAGCTTGCAGTTAACACAAGAATCGCACCGGCGTCAATAGGCATTACAACTTAGAGAAGCACTTTTTCGAATGTGCGTCCGAGTCGCCGACGGCGGAAGAAGCAGAAGACAAAGTGAAGGATGGGGAGACAGCTGGCGGCTAAGGCACCAGCGAGGGAAAAAAATCACAAGGCTTGAAGTTTGAAGTCTATTTCAACACAGTGTTACACCATACAATGTGTGGTGTGGAATGCGGGAAAAAAGCTGCGATAAAAACGCAGCTTGACTAGCCCCACATCCCATCAATACAAGGCAGAAAAAGTGACAGCATTCATAAAGTCCTGGAAACAACTAAACACACAAAAATACATAGTTTAAAGTGGCACCAATAAGAAATATTACATACATAAAACTTTAGGAAATGTAGATAGGATCTCATTCTTTGAGGAAATACGAAAAAATAGAAATAAGCAGAACATAAAAACAAATCTTTGGAAATGGCTAAACCTCTCTTGCGTCATGAAAGTATAAAAATATACGACATATCCTGTCGCGAAAGATGGCGCAATTGTTCCAATGTTAAATTGAATTTATTTGAGTGAATGTTTCAGCATTTGTAGACCATAGTTTGTTCGGCATCGAGGAACCTTCCAATAATCACTCTGTCTAGTAGGTCGAGTCAAGGTGCTGCGCTCTAAGCATGCTATGGAGATAAGATTGTCACTTCCTTTGTTAATTTCAGTTTTTAAAGACGCTAGTAAGCAATATTCATACATGTTGTCAAATCTTATTACTCCGAAATTGTTGAATAAAGACAAGGTATGTGCATTATATTCGGTATTTGCAATAGAACGTAATGCATTTTTTTTTTTGTAGTGTGAGTAATTTCTGCTTAGAGTGCAAGGTGCCAGTACCCCACACCAAAAGAACGTAGCGTAACTGGGAAGAAAAAAGCGTGTTGTACATCATTAGTATCTGAGTAGTCGGTAAAAATGACTGACATCTCCTAAGCATGCCTAGTACCTTACTTAACTTGTTTCTTAAGGTGGATATGCCGCCACCGTATAGTTCCGCAAGACGGGTACCATGGCATAGAGCCGTGGTTGCGCGAAGAATAGGGGAAAAGCTTCGCAGCAAGACTGTCTACACGTAGGAATAGAATTAAAGTAGGTACGCTGCTTGTAAATGTACCGTGCTTGTAATCAGCCAGGCCTTCTTAAATTACTGCTTCATTGTTAAATTCGAAGGCATGACTTACTAATGTCTGAAGTTTGAAAGACAGCACGTCGACGAAAAGAAAATGTGCTCTCTTTTACGAAAAAGACGTAATTCTATTCCCATTCCATTCCGTGGAAAATACGCTTCATTCGATTCCCCTTCCTTTAGGTTTTGTCGCCATTGCATTTTAATTCCATTCTAGGATCGCGGGAATGTGGAATGATTCCGGATTCATTCCAATTCCGGAGTGGAGACTCCGATACACTGGGCTGCAAGCGTTTGAAAAACGCGCGCCGCGAGATCTCGGCGGCAGCCTCACCGACGCGGAAACGACGACACGGCAATCCGTGGATTGGTGCGGCACGTTGCTTTCAGGAAGATACGCTCGTCGCTAGTCGCACACGAAGGCTGGCGTAGGACAAGATTCAACGAATTCAATAGATTAACACATCCGTGACGGTTCTAGCAGCCGTCTTGCGTACGAAGCCGCCGGAGGATTCGTGAAAACATGCACGACACTGCTGCCCGATTATCGGAAGACGTAAACACACAAGCCGTAACGAGTGTCGTGTTGGTACAAGGGGTCGGTGTAGAAAGAATCAGTATTTACCGGTGGCGTGCTGCCCCACGGACCGATGACGAGCAAACACTGTCCAGAACCAGCGATAAACAGTGGCAGGTCAAGCGCGATCCGTCGGTCTTCGCTTTTTGGTTCCGTCGACGACGAGAAGCGAACAGTGTCACACAAAACAGATGCCTTGGTACATCACGTCATTAGTGTAGATTGCTCATCAGTCTGGATTCGCAAGCTACATAATTTGACGGCCTCGTTCAGCACTTCATGTTGGAAACGGCACTGAATCAGTCAAGAAAAAAAAAATCACCGCTTCTCCCGCGTGTGCGATGGGAAAGTGAGCTGACTGCTCAGAGTTGATGCCGTGTCGCCATCTCGCGTACAAAAAGCAAAGCAGGCGCTGAATCATTAGGGCCTCCGAGATGGGAACCGAATAGATAGCTCGGCGCCCATTTTGAAACTGGTTCCATCATCTACTGCGCTTATTTTGTAAGCAGGCCTGGCAGAGTTGAAATTACCGTAATGAGATTACAGTGATTAAATTACTGTTTGCTGTAATCAGTAACGAATTATTCTTGTGAGCCGGTAATCTAGTTGAGTAATGAATATTTCAAGCGAATAATTTATAGAAGAATGCTCATTACTAGAGATCGAATTATGGCGAAATGCCTATTTTCTTTCTTGCGTTGCTGCCCTGTCACTTCGATATATGAGCATGAATTAGAGGCTAAGAAGACCCTTATAGAGTGTTTTTATAGTGCCTATATATGCCTATTTCTCACGGTTGTGTCTAAAATCCTATAAGAGAAGCATTTCATAGCGAACTTCAGCGACTTTGAGCGCATCTATCTATCTATCTATCTATCTATCTATCTATCTATCTATCTATCTATCTATCTATCTATCTATCTATCTATCTATCTATCTATCTATCTATCTATCTTTCTCTATCTATCTATCTATCTATCTATCTGTCTAACTATCTATCTATCTATCTATCAATCTATCCACCTATGACTTTTCGCTCTCCTGGCCGTTTCTATAATGGTATCGATACCAAAATTGCCGTGGAATACCATGACGGTATGACAAGAAAAGTGACTATTCATAGCATGAAAATTATTGCATGTATGTCATGAATGTCTTGATTTACATTTCATGGTCTTCCTCCTCTTGCGGTGGTTTCGTTCACAGGACATGTTGCAAAACTGGTATGGTATGGTATGACTGCATGGCGAGCATAAGCGATGGACCCTAACGTGGAAATCATGTCATGTAGGTCATGTAAGTCATGAATACACGCCAAGCTGGGACATCGACTAGTGTGGCAAAGCCGACCCCAATGGGAAGCACTGGGCGTAACGCTATGGGGAGCGTTCTTGGTGTGCGGCAGCCTCACAGTGCTTGGTGTGCGGCAGCTCCACATACACCAAATTTGGTATTATGGGGCGTGAGTGAATGACGAAGGTATATGACCGGTGCGAAAATGATAATCATGAGATGCGCGTCATGAGATGGCTTTTTTGCTCCTGTCCTAGCATTTGTTGTAAATGAAAGCCGAAACAAAGAATCATAATCAGAATGTAACAACATGACTACATGCCACGCAAACGATTCGCTCGCGGCCGTTTAGCTAGCTTCACATGCACCAAGTTTAGTACTACGTGACGCGAACGGAAAGCGGAGGTGAATGGCAGGTCCAAACATGATAATCATGGCATGCGCGTCATGTAAAACATGACCACACGCCGCTAAAAGCGTGCACGGTGGCGGTGCGCCGGTGCTTGCAAAACAAATAGCCAGCAAAAGAAGCAAAGCCTTCGAAATTTTGCACACAGGATCTCGGAGGTTTCGAAAGAAGCAGAATTGTTTCCGACATATCCGCGCGCTGACGCCACTAGTCCGCTACGATGCAACGATGGCATGAAATGCCTAACGTCGTAACAGAGAACACCTGTGGCGACCTGTCGCATTCGCTCACTCGGAGAGGGCGGGGCGGCGGAATTATCGCTTGCTGATTCATCGCGCCTGTGTGGCCGTGCGCCGTGCTCATGTTGCAATCATTCCGCAGTCCTTCCGACATCGCAATAGTAGTACGAGCGCCGGTGTGTGGAGGCTGCGCGGCGTTCTGCTACATGCTCGTTGGGAATCCGTGAATCTGCTGACTCGCTTCTCGTTGTTCTGGATAAGATTTCCCGAGCATCGGTGTTGAGCTACGATCGTTTCATCGTATATACTCGTAAGTTGTTACTCACTGTTAAGGATCGTATCCTTGTCCACACACCTTTGTCGGAATTGTTCACGCACCTTTGTCGCGAGTCGCGACAACCCGCGTCTTGTAAGTCCGCATTGGACCAGCTTTTTACAGTGTGTCAGAGAGTTGCTAGCGGTATGTGCTACCGCGTACTCGCTCAGAGAATCTGTGGAGCGTTTCATTGTGTTACTAATCTGACGTTCGTGGTACATCTTATCACACTTCGCTTCGCCGCATAGGCGAAAGTCGTAGTAGGCGAGCAGATGTCTGCGGTAGAATTCTCGCCGGACGTCAAAAAAAAAAAAGCGCGCGCAATTCAAAAGGCGCATGAAAGTGTACTGCGCAGAGAAGCGCCTCTTAGATCTTCACCGCACCGTCATGGACGTGCGTAGTATTCCCCTTTCAGGGGGGGGGGGGGGCTGAAGGCAATATATAGGGCTGATTTTGCACCCCCCCTCCTTGGTGTTGCCTTGCCCCCTTCTTGTTACTCAATGTATAGTGCTGTCTTTGCGCCCCCTCTTCAGTGACCGGGAGGGGGGGGGGGGGAACGTCCCCTCACTCCTGGCTCCCCCCCTCTTGCGCATGTCTATAGTCCTAGTGTGTGACACAGTCAAAACAATCTTCTATTGAAAGCACTCAGGCTCACTGACATATCTCAGAAGTAAAATTCTACTAGGGTTTTGCGTCTATAAATCGATTTCCGGACGAAAGTCCAACGCCATGGGCTCACGCAGCCCCGACACCAAGTTCACCACTGCGCTGGAGCAGCCGAATTCGCGTTCAGTGAATTCAACGAAGCGAAAATCACGACAGTAAAATGCGCTAAGTTCGTCGTGAATTTGACGTTGCACGAGAAGAGCATATTCAGACTGCTTAAATGCAGATTCTATAGTCGGGTAGCCTCAACACGTGAGATTCTTACCAACACACGCTTCGTGCTTATCGACGTATGATGCTTAATAACGTTCAACACAATGCTTACCAGCATGATGGCATCTGGTTCTATTAAATGACATGTCGAAAACGCTAAACCCACGTTTGTTGCTATGTATGTTTTACTTTGTACGTCTCGTCGCATTCGTTCCAGTTCTCATCACCTATGTTGGACTGGCGGGAGGCTGGACTTCTTTTCATCGGCTTTCATGGGCAAAAGTCTGACTCCCGTATACTGGCGTCAAAACGCACTTTGGACCCCTTCTCATTCCAGACGAGCTCATCCCATGGAACCTCCGCTGGACGCGGGACTCGTGTCTCTAGCATGGACAGTGGAATCCGTTCCCTGGATTCTGCGCGCCTGTTGCTCATTGTAGAAAGGACCTGTGATCAACTTAAATCCGCTGGGGTGGACCTTAAAGAGCCCTGCAGTGATGTCCCTGAAAAGACGAAGTGCTGGCTGAGGTTACAGTTGCCTGCTGTGAACAAAGTCCTCTGGAAAGTCTGCATGCAGCTTGTCGAACATGCTCCCGGTGCTTTGACACTCGCTCACTTTGAACGTCCCGATATCTACACAGTGCGCACGGACACGGCGTTCATGGACGGCGCCGTCGTGTTGTGCAGCCTGCTACGGCACCACGCGTGCATCAAGCGACTTCTTCTGAACGCCATGGCGTTCCCGTTGTGGTACTTTCCTTCAACTGCTCGGCAGCGCACTGCTCTCCAACCGAGGCGTCGTAGAGGTCGAAGAAGACCCAGTGGACATGGTGAGGTCGGGTCACGAAATGCGCCATTGCAGGATTCTGTCCTGCGCTCTTGGCAATTTGTCATGTCGCCTAAAATGCTTAAGTATCACGTCGCTGAAGCTTGACCACGTCTCAGCAGAGTGCATCGCCAGAGCTATTACAACGAGCAACCTGAGGCGCCTACATCTTTGCAACGAAATGTCGGCTGGTATGACACGAAAGCTGCTGACCGCCGTGAATTCCTGTCGGAGTCTCACCACCCTGGAGTTCGCCGGTTTTAGGCAGTTCTCTCGGACCCAGTGCAATAGCGCTTGCGAGTGCCTTAAAGCGCAACATCACTTTGCGAAAATTGCGTGTGTGCCACTTGGCGGATGATGCGCCTGGTATCATCCTGGCATCGCTCAAGAGCAACGAAGCATTGGAAGAGTTGTCACTAGACCGTTCGGATGACTTCTCACGTTCAACACTGTGGGAGGGCCTTCAAGCACTGCGCGAGAACACGGGTGCTCAAACACCTGGAAATAACGTACGCCCACTTGACGGGCAGCTGCGCGATAGTCCTCGCTGAAGTTTTGCGTCAAAACAGTGCAATCGAAGAGCTCTCGTTGCCGGTGAATTTCATCAGGGATCTTGGCGCACGTGCATTGGCCAAGACCCTTCAGGAGAGCTCTTCCTTAAAACGTCTTGACGTCTCAAAGTGCCGGTTGACCAGCAATGTGGTGACGAAATTTGTCGAAGCGGTTTCACGGAATAGCGCAATCGAGTACGTGCGCCTCGGACACGTCGACATTCCCGAAGACTGGGAACCAACATTGCCCCTCACAGAAGATGTGTTCTCCCGCTTGCAGGTTTCCTGGAACACCCGAGCGCTTCAGCAGCTCGCATTGTGCGATGGCTTCTCGCTTCCCAGAGCATGTCTTCGCTGGTCCAAAAGATGCTACTTGCTCTGGAATCGTGCAGTGGTTTTCCGCAGTTCGAGTGAACAGTGCGAACGCTCGTGGAACTGACCATCGAATGTCCTTTCCGTGTGGACTGCCGCAAGCACCGACGCGGCCGTCTCTTTTATCGAAATCAACACCTTCCCTCAAAAAGCTGATCGTGCGTCCCTTCAGGGATAACTACATCTTTTCAACTGCGATTTTAAGTAGTCTTGTCCGTAACAAGAGTGTCTGCGAGGCCGAGTTCGACCAGACTCTGCGCGCCCACCTGGATGTCAAGGCTGTTGAAGCGGTGCTGCTAGCCAACCGAACTTTACACCGTCTCAAATTCAGGTACGATAGTCTCGCCAGAAAGGCTCCCGAATTGCTGGCCCGGGCTCTG